GAATTCAGTCCGATCCTCCTCACATCATCATCATCCTCACCATCATCATCAGATTAACCCCTGCTCATTATACACCTTCATTTCTGTTAAAAAAGAGAGATACTTCACGGAACTTCCCTGCTGCTCTTTTCCAGCAGCATGGCTCTAGACAGGGTTGCCAGATTTTCATAACAAAAATCCCTATGATATTAAAACACAAAAATATGCCATACCCGATAAGTGAAACACACAATTTACATCACTGTATGCATTATACACATTTAAATAAGTAACATTAGTCATTTTAAATCATTTGTCTTGTAAGTTATTTACAATAATTACAGTTCTGAAGCAACTGCAGATGAATAGATGTGCAGGAGTCTGAAGTGTGCATTTTCAGGACTGTAAATGTTAATGTTACTTAAGGACTTAATGTTACTGCGTAAAAAAACGAACAAAATGCATTAAAAAATCAACAAAAAAACTATTCTTTCTAAACTTTATCTCAGTTTCGACATTTCTTTTCAGAATATTAAGTTTAATTAATATCTGTAAACTATAACTATTATTTTTTAAATGATTTATTCGTGTAATCATATTCAGATGCCATTATTGTGTTCTCCTTGGCGCTTGCATCTTTTAGTCATTTGCTTTCAATTAATATATTTTTATAAATTAATATTCACAGATTTTAGTGTTAAATGTTTAGCAAGAAAATGACATGAGTTTGAAACGAGATTAAAGATGATGTCAGTGATTATGTTGGTGGGAATTCATCATAAATGTCTTAAATATTACAACTATTTTAGGTTCCTCAAAGAACATCGATTGTTTTATTTTTACTTTTTCTTTTTTTTCTCACAATTATACATTAATTTATTCATTTTCCTTTAGCTTAGTCTTTATTTCAGGAGTCGCCACAGTGGAATGAACCACTAACTATTCTGTCAACCTCCAACACATAGCAGCTGCCTTTCCAGATACTGAGAAACACCTATAGACACTCACTCCATACACTATGGCCAGTGTAGTTGATCAGTTCCCCTATAGCGCATGTGTTTGGCCTGTGGCGGAAACCGGAGCACCTGGAGGAAACCCACGCCAACACGGGGAGAACATGCAAACTCCACACAGAAACGCCAACTGACCCAGCCGAGACTCGAATCAGCGACCTTCCTGATGTGAGGCCACAGTGCTGACCACCACTACTTACAATTATTTGATTTTATTTTACTTTGAACAGTTAATCAACAGCCAAATATCCACTAGCCTAATTTTACAATCAGCAGCCTAAATAATGAATAAAATGACCATGGTCTAAATCGTCCACCATTTATAGCATGGACAAATTGCATGGATGTTAAATGTTCATCACAGAGCTGACGATGCCAGTTATGATCCTTTATTTTTATTGTAGGAGGACAGAAGAATCATCAGAATGTTGAAAGCAACATTTCTCAAAGTGCATTCCAAGAGTTCCTCACTGAAGAACAGAAGAAACGTCTCTTTGAAGTTTTCAAACCAGATTAGAGCATGTTTATGAATAAATGCAAATCTTTTACCGAGTAAAGCCAGTCATGAAGCAGTATTATTGAGTTTCCTCCTCGTGTAACACAAGCCTCGGTTAGACAATAACAGCTCCGGCTCAGATATTCACTCTGAAACTTGAGTCACTTTCTCTGCACCTACTGACACCAGGTTATGCCTATATACACAAACAAGACTCAGATACAGCTATATACATCTCATATATAAAGCAAGTTTCATCATTACATTCACACAATAAAGTAAAACTGTCATGCTTTTGAACCATACTATAGTAAAGCAATAGGATTCATTTGCTGTGGTGATTCTACAGTTGCTATGGTAACAAAAACTGTAGTAATTGATCTGTAGTGGTGATTCTACAGTTGCTATGGTAACAAAAACTGTAGTAATTGATCTGTTGTGGTGATTATACAGTTGCTATGGTAACACAACAACTACACTAATTGATCTTTTGTGCAATTCTACAGTCGCTATGGAAACAACAATTATAGTAGCTGATCTGTTGTGGTGATTCTACAGTAGCTATGGTAACACGATAACTATAGTAATTGATCTGCTTGTGATGATTTTACAGTTCCTATGGTATCAACAGCTACACTAATTGACCTGTTGTGGTGATTCTACAGTTGCTATGGTAACACAACAACTACATTGATTGATCGGTTGTGACGATTCTACAGTTGCTATGGTAACACAACAACTACAGTAATTGATCTGCTGTGATGATTCTAAAGTTGCTATGGTAACACAACAACAATACTAATTGATCTGTTGTGGGGATATTACAGTTGCTATGGTAACACAACAACTACACTAATATAAACAGATGTCACAGTACTGTAGTGTTCTACAGCTATAGGGTATATTATACTACAATACTCCACAGTTTACAGTGGTAAACACTAAGGTATACTACAGTATTTAATAATATTTAATAATATTATTAATAATAATATTTAATAATATTTAATACTACAGTAATACTACAGCATTTATTAAGAGTGTTTTAAACGCTATACAGTATAATACCGTGTACAATAGTATAGTTCAGAAACACTGTGGTATTTGCTGTGTGTTAGTATTGGTTCAGGCTACAGGTAGTGCTACAGCAGCCCAGGTGGTTGAGACGGTGAACACAGAGACTGAGGACAACGTAAATAGTGTATGAGTGTAAAGCAGACATCAGCGGAGAGATCATATACCGACCGCTGGGAAATCCTGCTGTTCTCCTGATGATCCTGAGGAACTGAAGAGCCCATGGCGGACACTATTGAGCTAAACAGAACCTCTGGACTCCAGGTACGTCTGCCGCTCATGAACCTGCAAACAACAACAACGCAACAGCTGAAAGTCACACACACTGGACAAACACACACACACTCTACTGTGATGAGCTAATCATAGTCATAGTTACTGTATTGTGTCTGAAAAATATAAATCCAATGGCACATCTACCCTGATAGCACACATACAGCAGAGACGTCTATTTGATGTGTGTTTACATCTGGAAGACGTATCTATTAGAGCATTTGCTCGTCTGTAAAACGTCTATGAAATGTCAACTTTCAGATGTTAAATAGATGTTTAGAGTACGCATTTATTAAAGCATTTGCTCATCTGTAAAACATCTATTAGATGTCAATTTCTAGATGTAAAAGAGATGTTTGAATTTATTTAACATGTTCACAATTTAGTGGACCTTTTAAAGATGTTTATCAGACCTTTGAACACAGCTGACATTTACAGAAAAACACGTGTGGGTTTTAAAGAGAAGCAAACGCTCTAATAAATATGACTTTCAGATCAAACATCAAATTAAACATCATTTCATAAATGTTAATATATGTTTAGAACATGTCTTTGTTTAAAATATTTTAAGGCTTTTATCATACATTTGAACACAAAATATGTTTTCAACACTAAAAGAGTGTTTAAACCAAGTCCAATCCCTATACATTTAAATATTGCAATAACTATATTTGCATTATCAAAAAATAATGGCACATTTTTAACCTAAAATGAAAAATACAACAACTGCACAGAAATAAACACGTGAAGAGTGAGAAACATTATTCACATTTACATCTGAAGACTATTATTAAAGCATGTGCTCATCTTTAAAACATCTATTAGATGTCAATATCCAGATGTAAAATAGATGTTTCGACTTTAACACATTTAAATTCAGAATGCTCATTAAATAGACCATTTAAAGATGTTCATCAGACCTTTGAACACAGCGGATAGTGTACAGAAAACTATGTGCTGTTTTAAAGATCTAATAATAAATACGTCTTCCAGATGTAGACACAAACCTAGACGTCTAATGAACGTCACTTTAAACAATAAATGTAGATGCTTAGAATTAACGTTTCAAATTTAGAATGTTCATTCACTGGACCTGTTTTAGATGTTTATCAGATCTTTGAGGCCACAGTGCTAAACACTGAGCCACTGTGTTGCCCTATTATGGATATTTCTCTTGATATATGATTTATTTCCTGTTTTAGAGTTGGTATGAACAGTATTATTTTTCAGTATGATTACCAACTGAAATGGAGAATTTTCTGGGGGCGGGGTTTAGTTTTGAGCTCCTCCATCAGCCAATCAGAGTCATTACAGTATAATTAGGTATCGGTAGAAACCCATTTGCCAATTAGTTAATCTGATATTCTTATATTCCAGCATGATGAAGTCCACATTAATCAAAATAATCATCAAAGCTGCAGACGAGCATTACTGACTCTTAATCTCAGGCCTCAGACGTGCATGTGCTGGTCCAGAGGATGTGTTGATGGCAGTGGCTTCAGTAGGTGAACAGCAGGAGGAAGTGAAGCCGGTTTATGAAATGCCACTTCCAGTGAAGTGTGTGTGCACTGTGCATGTGGAAGTGTGTGTGTGTGTGTGTGTGTGTGTGTGTGTGTGTGTGTGTTCTGATCTAATCTTCAGCAGCACTGCATCCAGCAGAGTCTTTCCCATTGTTATGATGAGCGATTACTGTGGGCAATGTCTGATGTCCATACAGTGCTGGCCTGTGTGTGTGTGTGTGTGTGTGAGTGAGTAAATGTGTTTAGTGCTGAGTACACTAGAGGTGAAAATGTGTGTGTGTGTGTGTGTGTGTGTGTGTGTGTGTGTGTGTGTGTGTGTGTGTGTGTGTGTGTGTGTGTGTGTGTGTGTGCAGTGTAACTAAAAGCTCTGTAGAGAATCAGACCAATGTAATTTCCCAATGGAGGGTCGATGAGCTGCTGGAACACACTCAACAGCAGGAGAGAGAGAGAGAGAGATGGAGAGTCTCTGTCAATATAACTGCACAGTCAACAGAGCAATACTGAGAAGACGGATGACAAGAAATAAAGGAATGAAGATGGAAACTCTGAAGGAGTAGAGAGTATTATTTAAAGACAGCGTCACATTCAGAGATGCATCCGGCAGCTCTCATCCCGCTGCGCCCGCTCAGTACCAGACCACGTGGGAAAGCTGCGTTGCTGCTGGAAGTGGTGTTAGTGAGACCAGCTGTGTGGTGCCTAACACCCCAGTATAGTGAAGGGGACTCTATACTCCAAACTACGGGGAAAACGGAGCACCCGGTGGAAACCCACGCCAACAAGGGGAGAACATGCAAACTCCACACAGAAACACATGCTGAGCCAGCCGGGACTCAAACCAGCGACCTTCTTGCTGTGAGGCCACAGTGCGACACCACTGTGCCACCCTGTCGCCCTCTAGTCAAACATCCAATAGAAGCGTGCAGAAATATGCAGTGCTGATCAGAGTGTGTGGTGCATGTGGAGAGGAGCGAGTGTGTGTTCCTGTGCTGATGCGTCTCTCTTCCTCTCTCTCTCTGGTCAGGTGTCTCGCGCTCCTCTGAATATGAATCATTACGCTAATAAGAAGAGTGCGGCGGAGAGCATGCTGGATGTGGCTCTGCTGATGGCCAACGCGTCGCAGCTGAAGGCGGTTCTGGAGCAGGGGCCCCAGTTCAGCCTCTACACCTCCCTGATCACACTCATCAGCCTGTCCCTCTGTCTGCAGGTGCTGGTGGGCATCCTGCTCATCTTCATAGGTGATCAACAACACACACACACACACACATAATGTGTGTCGTGTCATGAACACACATCTGACTCACTAGAGCACAACTCATTAAAACACTTCCGTACAAATATGTTTGCTCATATATATATATATACACACCCACCGGCCACTTTATTAGGTACACTTGACTAGTACCAGGTTAGCCACTTTTGCCTTCAGAACTGCCTTAATCGTTGGTGTCAGAGATTCAGCAAGCTACTGGAAATATTCCTCAGAGATTTTGCTCCATATTGTCATGATAGCATCACACAGTTGCTGCAGATTTGTCGGCTGCACATCCATGATGCCAATCTCCCGTTCCACCACATCCCAAAGCTGCTCTATTGGATTGAGTTCTTTCTATCAGCTGGAACCAGTCTGGCCATTCTCCTCTGACCTCTGGCCTCATCAACAAGGCATTTGCGCCCACAGAACTGCCGCTCACTGGATATGTCCTCTTTGTCGGAGCATTCTCTGTAAACCCTAGAGATGGTTGTGCGTGAAAATCCCAGTAGGTCAGCAGTTTCTGAAATACTCAGAGCAGCCCGTCTGGCAGCAACAACCATGCCACGCTCAAAGTCACTTAAATCCCCTTTCTTCCCCATTCTGATGCTCGCTCTGAACTGCAGCAGATCGTCTTGACCATGTCTACATGCCTAAATGCAGTGAGCTGCTGCCATGTGATTGGCTGATTAGACATTTGTGTTAACAAGCAGTTCAAAGGTGTACCTAATAAAGTGGCCGGTAAATATATGTGTGTGTGTGTGTGTGTGTGTGTGTGTGTGTGTGTGTGTGTGTGTGTGTGTGTGTGCGTGTGTGCGTGTGCAGTGTTAGTAAAGATCAGAAACACTTCTGGAGCTCTTACCGTACTCTGTTAACTCCAGCGTGTGCTAACACATTATTAATATTTCATATATTATAATGGAGCCAAAAATAAAATGAACTAATGATTGAAAATGAATTCAAACAGTTGATCATATGTAAATATTGAATTTAATCACATTCTAACACCATTACATCCCACGTACAGCGACGTGCCGAGCAATAAAAGAGCATTTAGGCCCAAACTGTGAACAGGAACCAGTGTGTGTTAGCTGAGAACTGATGTTGTTCTTCTCTGAGTGTGTGAGTAGAAGAGCTGTGATTCTTCCTCTCCTCTGTGCAGTCCTCCAGAGCTTCAGTTTTACACCAGCGCGTTTGCGGTCATCATGCTCATACCGGCCTGGATCTTCCTGATGGTCAGTCCTGCACGCTTTTTCATGCTTTTTACACTCTTTTACATGCTTTTTACAAAGTTTACATGCTTTTTACAATTGTACTTGTTTTTTACACTATTTTACATGCTTTTTACATGCTTTTGCTCTGTTTTAAATGCTTTAACACTCTTCTGCATGCTTTTTACATGCCTTTACACTGTTGACATGCTTTTACATGCTTTTTACACTGTTATAAATTCTTTTTACGCTATTTTGCATAATTTTTACATGCTTTTGCTCTCTTTTATATGCTTTAACACTCTTTTGAATAATTTTTACATGCCTTTTACACTGTTATACATGCTTTTTATGCTAATTTACATACTTTTTACATGTCTTTGCACTCTTTTACATGCTTTACATGCCTTTTCACTTTTTACATGCATTTTACACTGTTTTACATACTTTGTACAAGCTTTTACACTTTTACACGCTTTTTACATACTTTTTACACTGCTTTACATGCTTTTTACATATTTTAACACTGTTTTACATGCTTTTACTGTTTTACATGGTTTTAACAATGTTTTACATGCTTTTCTCACTGTTTTACATGGTTTTTAACATTCTTTATGACTTTTTACATACTTTTTACACTGTTTTACATACTTTGTACATGCTTTTACATGCTTTTTACATACTTTTTACACTGTTTTTCATGCTTTTCTCACTGTTTTACATGCTTTTCTCACTGTTTTACATGCTTTTTACACTGTTTTACATGGTTTTTACATGCTTTAAGACTTTTTACATACTTTTTACACTGTTTTACATAGTTTGTACATGCTTTTACACTTTTACATGCTTTTTACATACTTTTTACACTGCTTTACATGCTTTTTACACTGCTTTACATGCTTTTTACATACTTTTTACACTGCTTTACATGCTTTTTACATACTTTTTGCACTGTTTTACATGCGTTTTACATGCTTTTCACACTGTTTCACATGGTTTTAACACTGTTTTACATGCTTTTCACACTGTTTTACATGGTTTTTACATGCTTTGACTTTTTACATACATTTTACACTGTTTTACATGCTTTTACACCTTTTATTTTCTTTCACGTGCATTTACACTATTACATGCCTTTACACTATTTCACAGCCTGTTCATAGCCTGTTACACTTACAGGCTTTTACACCCTATTACCCTCTTTTACACTGTTTTACATGCATTTACACTCTTTTACATGTTTTTACCTTGTTTTACATGCTTTTACATACTCAATATATGTGTCTTTCCATTAAGCAATTTTATGCTATATTCCAAGTTGCACATAAAAATAGGTGAATGTGAACATAGCGTGTGTGTGTGTGTGTGTGTGTGTGTGTGTGTGTGTGTGTGTGTGTGTGTGTATCGCCTGTATCCGCTGCTAATGTGTGTGTGTGTGTGTCGTAGGACTTTCCGGGCATCGGGAAGAGTGAACGCTCCTTCAAACTGTCTCAGGACATCGTGGTGCTGCTGCTGCTGGACGGGGCTCTGTTCCACTTACAGAGCGTCACCGCATACGCCCTCATGGGCCGCATCTCACCCGTCACATTCAGGTCAGTAACGCACACACACACAACAGGTCACATTTCACACACATAATGCAAAACACACCACACAATATGGCAAAATGAGCTGCAAACATCCACACTGGCTTGATCTTCAAAGGGATAAATCACTCAAAACTGAAAATTCTGTCATGTACTCACCCTTTACTTAGTAGAACAGTTGACTACTGAGTAGATGAGCTTACTCACTGACTAGCAAGTCGCTGAGTTGACCCATTGACTAATGAGTTGATTAGTGAGTTGACTAGTGAGTAGATGAGTTGACCTGTTTACTAGTAAGTAGGTGAGTTGACTTGTTGATTAGCGAGTAGATAAGTTGACTCCTTGAACCATTGACTAATGAGTAGATGAATTTATTAGGGAGTTGACTTGTTGACCCTTTGTATAGTGAGTAGATGAGTTGACCTGTTGACTATTGAGTAGATGAGTTGACTTGTATTATTGACTAGTGAGATGAGTTGCCTTGTTGACTCATTGACGTGTGAGTATATAAGTTGACTAGCGAGTAGATGTGTTGATTAGTGAGTAGATGAGTTGACTAGTTGACCCATTAGCCCCTTTCACACATACAGACCTTTCCGGAAAATTACCGGCAATTTTCCGGAAAGGTTGTATGTGTGAACAGGTCCTTTTTGAAAATACCGGTAAATTCGTTCTGGCTATTTTCCGGAAAGAGAAGTTGTAACATTACCGGCAATTTGCCGGAATGCTGCGCTGTGTGAACGCAGAAGGAATATTTCCGGAATAAGCGCGTGCACGTCTAGAACGTGCTGACGTAAGACTTCTGCTTTAGCCAATCACAACAGTCAGACGCATTTACGTCCGCGCGGTTTGTGAGAATAAAAGCCTTTGAATATTTTTCCAGACGCATTTAGCTGCTAGAAGTTAGTCAGATAAGGTTTATATGTTCTCCTTAATGCCAACTGTGCAAATAATCATCGATAAGATGCTTATGATAAGCCGTTGTTTGTTTACCTTCAAGCTTTGCGTGTGCCCATGAAACAGCCTGTGAGCGGCAGCACATGCACATATTACGAACATCTCGACATGCGAATATGATCCAGTGAAAGTTGTTTACAATATTGATCATCAAAAGAGTTTGTAATTTAGTCAAATGTTTACAAATACAAGCGCAGCCGTTTAAAGCTCATTTGTGGTGAATGATGTCAGAATTTACCGGTATTTTGGAATGGATGTGTGAATGCTCTTTTCCGGAAAATTTCCGTAACGTCCTCGCCTGTGTGAACAGCGCTTTTTTGAACATACCGGTAAAGTCGTTCCGTAAATTTTCCGGATATTTTCCGGTATCACTGTGTGAAAGGGGCTATTGACTAGTAAGTAGGTGAGTTAACTAGTGAGGAGACGAGTTGACCCAATACTTAATGAGTACATGAGTTGACATGTTGACTGGTGAGTAGATGAGTTGATTGAGTTGACTCATTGACTAGTGAGTAAGTGAGTTAACTAGTGAGTAGATGAGTTGACTACTGAGTAGATGAGTTGATTAGTGAGTTGACCGATTGGCTAGTGAGTAGATGAGTTGACTAATTAGTGGGTGAGTTGACGCATTGACTAGTAAGTAGATGAGTTGACCCAATGACAAGTAGATTAGTTGACTACTGAGTAGATGAGTTGATTAGTGAGTTGACCTATTGACTAGTGAGTAGATGAGTTGACTAGTTAGTCAGTGAGTTGACCCGTTGACTACTAAGTAGATGAGTTGACCCAATGACTAGTAAGTAGATTAGTTGACTAGTGAGTAGATGAGTTGACTAGTTAGTAGATGAGTTGACTAGTGAGTAGATGAGTTGATTAGTTAGTAGATGAGTTGACTTGTGAGTAGATGAGTTGATTAATGAGTAGATGAGTTGACTAGTGAGTAGATGAGTTGATTAGTTAGTAGATGAGTTGACTAGTGAGTAGATGAGTTGATTAGTTAGTAGATGAGTTGACTTGTGAGTAGATGAGTTGATTAGTTAGTAGATGAGTTGACTTGTGAGTAGATGAGTTGACTAGTGAGTAGATGAGTTGATTAGTTAGTAGATGAGTTGACTAGTGAGTAGATGAGTTGATTAGTTAGTAGATGAGTTGACTTGTGAGTAGATGAGTTGACTAGTGAGTAGATGAGTTGATTAGTTAGTAGATGAGTTGACTAGTGAGTAGATGAGTTGATTAGTTAGTAGATGAGTTGACTAGTGAGTAGATGAGTTGACTTGTGAGTAGATGAGTTGATTAATGAGTAGATGAGTTGACTAGTGAGTAGATGAGTTGATTAGTTAGTAGATGAGTTGACTAGTGAGTAGATGAGTTGACTAGTGAGTAAATGAGTTGACTAGTGAGTAAATGAGTTGACTAGTGAGTAGATGAGTTGACTAGTGAGTAGATGAGTTGACTAGTGAGTAGATGAGTTGATTAGTTAGTAGATGAGTTGACTAGTAAGTAGATGAGTTGACTAGTGAGTAGATGAGTTGACTAGTGAGTAGATGAGTTGACTATTGAGTAGATGAGTTGACTATTGAGTAGATGAGTTGACTAGTGAGTAGATGTGTTGACTAGTGAGTAGATGAGTTGACTATTGAGTAGATGAGTTGACTATTGAGTAGATGAGTTGACTAGTGAGTAAATGAGTTGACTAGTGAGTAGATGTGTTGACTAGTGAGTAGATGAGTTGACTAGTGAGTAGATGAGTTGATTAGTTAGTAGATGAGTTGACTAGTGAGTAGATGAGTTGACTAGTTAGTAAATGAGTTGACTAGTGAGTAGATGAGTTGACTAGTGAGTAGATGAGTTGACTAGTGAGTAGATGAGTTGACTAGTGAGTAGATGAGTTGACTAGTTAGTAGATGAGTTGACTAGTGAGTAGTGAGTAGAAGAGTTGACTAGTGAGTAGATGAGTTGACTAGTTAGTAGATGAGTTGACTAGTGAGTAGAAGAGTTGACTAGTGAGTAGTGAGTAGAAGAGTTGACTAGTGAGTAGAAGAGTTGACTAGTGAGTAGATGAGTTGACTAGTGAGTAGATGAGTTGACTAGTGAGTAGATGAGTTGACTAGTGAGTAGATGAGTTGACTAGTGAGTAGATGAGTTGACTAGTTAGTAGATGAGTTGATTAGTGAGTAGATGAGTTGACTAGTGAGTAGATGAGTTGACTAGTGAGTAGATGAGTTGACTAGTGAGTAGATGAGTTGACTAGTGAGTAGATGAGTTGACTAGTGAGTAGATGAGTTGACTAGTGAGTAGATGAGTTGACTAGTGAGTAGATGAGTTGACTAGTGAGTAGAAGAGTTGACTAGTGAGTAGAAGAGTTGACTAGTGAGTAGAAGAGTTGACTAGTGAGTAGAAGAGTTTACTCGTTGACTAGCTAGTCGATGATCAACCCATTGACTAGTGAGTAAAACACTAAAGGAAAAGCATAATCTAGCTGTTTTATCCAATTATAAACTGGTAAGATTATAATGTGTTGTGTGTGTGTGTGTGTGTGTGTGTGTGTGTGCGTGTCTGCTAGTGTGTGATCAAACTGTTGAGATTATAACGTGTTGTGTTGTGTGTTTGTCTGCTAGCGTGGCGAGCACAGTGAAGCATGCGCTGTCCATCTGGCTGAGCATCATTGTGTTCAGTAACCCCATCACGGTGGTGTCCGCCATCGGGACGCTCATGGTGTTTGTGGGAGTTCTGCTTTACAACAAGGCCAAACAGTTCCAGAGAGACGCTCTGATCCAGCACGCTCTCGACCAATCAACAGAGGCCGAGCAGAAACCCATGATCCAGAACGGTGACGTCACGTCCACCAAACTAACCTAACGCACGGGCTCCACACAGACACTGGCTCTGCTCGTAAAGCTGCACACTATAAAGGCTCGTGAGTTTTTATATCAGGTTTCACAGAGGGGTCATGCCTTATCAAAAACTGTCACAGTAACTGTGGTTTCGGGACCTAATCATTGCTAAAAGTCTAATAATGACTTGTGCTGGATTCGAAGGAAACTCCTGGACAAGCATTGAAAGATCATGTGGTGTTTCACCGTCTGAGGGCTTAATCTTGAAGTGTAGTTTGAGTGAATGACGGCCTCCTACCAGCAAATATTCACCTCATATTTGACCACTAAATCAACAGGAATGTTTTCAATAGTGCCGATTAATCGCATACGAGATATAAGTTTGTTTATATGTGCGTGTGTGTTTATATAAGTGCATAAATGTATATACTTTCACAAATATTTGCATATTTATATAGTCATATTTATAGATAATGTTGTATATCTCCTCTATACATTTATTATAGATGGATGTGAAATATAAATATACATAATAAATGCACTGAACACAATTATGTGTAAACAAACTTTTATTTTGTAGGCTCTTGGTCACTATTGCGCACTAGTTTTCTTTTATTGCGTTAGGACAGTGATGTTTGTTTGTTTGCGTCGCACTGTGAATAAAAAATAAAGTTTCGCAGTGCAAAAAATAAAACATTAATTTCTACCGTGATAAATGACACTTATGGATTTATTGATTTAAAAAATGATGTTTGAAATTTTTTTTTAAGCTAAATTAATTGTTTGATTTTGAGGTGAATGAGGGTGTTGGACGTTCCTCGAGCTGATATTTTGCACAGGAATCATTACGGAGAATGGAAATGTCTCACATTCTATCGTTTGTGTGAAATTAATTCTTATTTTATATGTTTTTCGGTGCATTCCAAATGCAATGATTGTAGCAAACCACAATCTGCGTCCATTTTGTATGTTTCCTAATAATGATTTGCTGTAATGTTAAAAAAATTGAGCTAATATTTGCCTTATTTTGGGGTTTAATGTCTGGAATATTGTCCTGTGGTTTAGATTTGGAACATCAGAGGTAATTCTGTCTTTGTGTGTTTTCCCTGTGTGTTTTCATTATTGGGGTTTCTGTTTGTTTTCAGTGTTTAGTTTGAGGTTGACTGGAACAGTACAAAACTTGATGAAAGCTGCAGTTCAGATTCTCTTCTCGTCTGTGTTTGTGAGACTCACCTGTTTGTTTTGGTCGTTTACTGTAACCACTAATGGGAATTCTGTATAATTTGATCTGTGGATTAAAAGCATTCAAATAAAAATGTGTGTTCGTTTGTCATGATGTTGAACATTTATTCATTTTCCTTCAGCTTATTCATTCATTTATTCATCGCCACAACTATATGTTTTACAAAGCAAAGGCAATTCCGACTGCAAACCAGTACTGGGAAGCACCCAAACACACTCATTCTCATACACTTCGGCCAGTTTAGTTGATCAGTTCCCCTATAGCGCATGTGTTTGGACTGGGGAAACCGGAGCACTCGGAGAGCAAGCTCCAGACAAACGCCAACTGGCCCAGCTGGGACTCGCACCAGCGACCTTACTGTGAGGCGACAGTATAATCTGTATTAACCTGATAAGCCGTGTCTTTATCTTTCTTTAAAGGCATGAATGATGTAAATATTTAAGAACATGTCGTGTTAACAGATATAAAGCGTGTCTGTGTGGAGTAATAAGGCTCAACAGTTTATTCTTTTACTCCTCAACATGGCTTTCGTAAATGACTCACACGATCTCTGCTTTGTCACACACGGCCTGATTTATGCTGTGTTACTGTAGATATAACGTCTTATTATTATAATATGTAGTTTTAATTTGACGTGAAATAAGTAGGTCAAAAATAAATAATGTAATCGTTACAGTTTGAGCACCGACACGGTGAGGTGATTTGTGTTACTTTTCTCAGCGCAGGATCGAATGGACAAATCACATCCATTTATGATAGGACTTATCAACGTTTAGCATTGATTACTCATATCTGTGATAGATCCACTGATCTATAGAGAATATATATAAATCAGTGGTATAACATAATAAATAAAAATATGCTATACTATACACACACCTTTTCTATATACAAGGATGTGTAACGTAAAAAGCTTTTATTTTCTAAGTAGGTCAAGAAGTGATGCGGTCAAGATAAATCATTTGACTAGTTTTTTAGGTTTTTATTATTGTGTGCTATATATATTTTATATATACGTTAATATACAAAGATGTATATTTACATAATAAATACAGAACACACATGTGTACCAAACTTTTACTTTGAGTGATGATGAGGTGGTTTGTGTAACCAAAATGAAATATTGGCAAAAATCCTCTAATAAAGTGTATAAATATCTTGCTTTTTGACTTTTCGTCTCTTTAATGTCTTCAAATGCTATTATTATTTATACAATTGTAGTTTAACACAAGGCGAAATTCGAATAGCACTTTAATCTAAATCTACAGAATTAATAAAGATAAATAATAAAGATAATAAGACAAAAATATAAAGATAATCGATAAATAAAATGAAAATATAAATAAATTTATTACAGAACAAAGATAAACACACACGCTTCGAATCTTCTTCCGCTTTCTGCTGTTCTATGATAGGCCACGGGGTGGCAGTGTGACGCGCGCCTCGGCCAATGCGACCGGAAGACATCAGTCGGAAGAAAGGCATGTGAAGAGAATAGTTTTTCCGGTGTTGTGAAAACGCGCCGACTGATTCACAGGTGAGTGGAAGCCCGAAACTCCCCAGAGCTGTTAAACAGAGCCGAGCCGACTTTCCTGGGGGCTCTGAGTTAATGATCCATGTGTCTGAGGGGAATAACGAACATTCGCGCGCGGCTGAGGGTGTTATGAGGGATTAATGCGCGCTAACCACGTACACACACTCACACACACTCACGCGCGCGCGCGCTAGATATAACTCTGTTAGATTTATAAACACACACCGAGCACTGTATTCATCATATTGACATTACTGAGTCTCTGAAGCTTCGACATAATCAGAATTTTAGTCGTTGCGGCCCGTTCCCGCGATTCCACAGTTATAGAGTAATGCAATATATCGTATGATGAAGTGTGTGTGTGTGTGTCTGTCGTGGTGTCTGAGTATGTGGCGTTGAGTGTGTCTCGTGGTGTCTAGTGTGTGCGTCGTTGAGAGAGAGTGTGTGTGTGTCATTCAGTAGTGTGTATCATTCAGGAGTGTTAATCTAGTGTATGTGTGTCATTTTTGGAGTGTTCATCTAGTGTGTGTGTGTGTGTCATTTTGGAGTGTTAATCTAGTGTGTGTGTGTGTGTGTGTGTCATTTTGGAGTGTTAGTCTAGTGTGTGTGTGTGTGTCATTTTGGAGTGTTAATCTAGTGTGTGTGTGTGTGTGTGTGTCATTTTGGAGTGTTAATCTAGTGTGTGTGTCATTTTGGAGTGTTAATCTAGTGGATGTGTGTGTGTCATTTTGGAGTGTTAATCTAGTGTGTGTGTGTGTGTGTGTGTGTGTGTGTCATTTTGGAGTGATAATCTAGTGTGTGTGTCATTTTGGAGTGTTAATCTTGTGTTTGTGTGTGTGTGTATATGTGCAGGGGGTGAGTTGGAGCTGATGGGGGACGAAAAGGAAACCTGGAAAGTGAAAACGTTAGACGAGATCCTCCAAGAGAAGAAACGCAGACGAGAGCTGGAAGAGAAGAGCGACCCCAAGAGAATCAAGAACGTAAGAGAAACCAAACACACACACACACACACACACACACAGTATAATACATATTTGTGCTTGTATTTTTACACAATTATTTGCACGCTTAGATAATGTTGTTTTTTCCTGTGTGTGTGTGTGTGCGTGTGCGTGTGTGTGTTTGTGACAGGCAGATGATCGGGAACTCAAACGGGACACTCCGGAGGAAGGAGAACTTCGAGACCACAGAATGGAAATAACGATTAGAAACTCACCTTACACACGAGAGGACTCCACTGAAGACAGGTCACTGACACACACACACACACACACACACTTAGCATTCGCTAGTTTCCTCTCTGTATGCACCAGACACCTTATAAAACTCTGCATTTCTGAGTGTGCCTCGTGCAGGTGAGTGGTCTGACAAACCACTCGCTCTCCTCTCCGTGTGCACAAACACTCAGACTCAGTTCACTGCAAGAAATATTTACTTTAGAGAAACATATACCTTAAAGTTGACCAAATTAAGCTGTTAGCGGTACATATTATTAATCACGATTGTAATGTTGATCTGTTTACAGTGGGGACTTTACTAAATGAGGGGTTTGTTTAAAAGCATCTGCTGAATAAGTGCAGTGTGGATGTGTGCTGATGGAGCTTGTGTTTCTGCAGAGGAGAAGAGGACGAGTCTCTGGCCATCAAACCTCCACAGCAGATGACAAGAAAAGACAAGAACTACCACCGAAAAGAGGAGAAGAGGAAGGACAAGAGGCGGCGCAGGAGTCACTCTGCAGAGGGAGGTCAGGCCACACGTTCACACTAGATTTATTGTACAGTTGAGCTCATGAAACACTCACAGGTTATTCTGCAAGAGGGAGAGACAGTCCATTATGCATATGGGGGGGCCATAGGTTAACTCCTCCCCTTTGGAAAAAAAAACTTGGGTCGCCCCAGCGGAATGAACCAACAACTATTCCAGCATATGTTTTACACAGCAGATGCCCTTCCAGCTGCAATCCAGAACTGGGAAACACCCATACACACTTATTCACACACACTCATACACAACGGCCAGTTTAGTTGATCAATACCCCTATAGCGCATGTGTTCAGACTGAAACCGGAGGAAACCCAAGCCAACATGGAGAGAACATGCAAACTCCACACAGAAACACCAACTGACCCAGCTGGGACTCAAACCAGAGACCTTCTTGCTGTGAGACCACAGTGCTAACCACTGAGCCACTGTGTCACCCTTGACTTTGTTAACAGTCCATTAGTTTAACGCATTAAATATGCGAGTGCTCTCTATAAGTGCCTCCGCTAGACATTTGATGACGGTCTTGTGTTGTTTACAGCAGAGAAACACCCCCGCACGAAAGACAAAGAGAAGGAGCGCGAGAACGAGAGGAGGAAACGACAGTGGCACGAGGACAACAAAGCTCGCCAGGATTATGAGCGCCAGAAACGCAGGGATCAGGCCCGAGCTCATTCCCGCAGAGAGAGGTCAGACACACTCACACAAAGGTTTGTTTTTGTGAGTTGTGGGGACATTCCACAGGCTTCCATTGTTTTACACTGTACACTGTGTATGTGCTGTTGCCCTACGCTTTACAGGAGACTGTGTCATTCATTACTGTACACTACTGGTGTGGTATATGTAGTGAGACGTGAATCTGCATTTTTGATTGGATGTTTGACGTAATATCAACTGAAATGAGAGGGGCGGGGCATAGAGTAGCTCCTCCCCTCTTTTTAAAAGCAGCCAATAGCGTGTTTAACCCACAGCTCTGCCAGGGAGAGTGGTTAAGCGCAAGCGCATCAAATGAATAGCCAATGAGAAGAAAGGGGCGGGGCATGTCAGATACTATATTTGTGTGTGTGTGTGCGTGCACAGGGATCGTCTGGAGCAGCTGGAGCGCAAACGGGAGCGAGATCGTAAACTGAGGGAGCAGGAGCAGAGAGAGCAGCGGGAGCTGGAGGAGAGAGAGAGGAGAGCAAAGGAGCGACGCAAGGACAGAGACACACGCCGCGATGGTACACATTACTATACACACATGCATCACAATACACACACACACCATAATATATACACATACACATCACAATATACACACACATTACTATACAAACACCACCATTATATAGGCACGCAAATCACAATATACACACATTACATTATACACACACATCAAAATATACACACACATCAATCACAATATATATACACACTTTACTATATACACACACACACGCATCCCAATATATACACACATCGATAACGATATATACTCGCATTACTATACGTACACACATCACAATATACGCACGCATAACTATACGCACGCATCACAATACAAGCACGCATCACAATACAAGCACGCATCACAATATACGCACACACATCACAATATACGCACGCATGACAATACAAGCACACATCACAATATACGCACACGCATCATAATATACACACACACATCACAATATACACACGCATCACAATATACGCACACACATCACAATATAAGCACGCATTACAATATACGCACACGCATCACAATATACACACACATCACAATATATATATATATATTGTGATGCGAGTGCGTA